ATCTGAAATGTAAATAGAATATCCAATAAAAATCAGTTTCAAAAAATGAAAAGCAGTAATGTGATAACTATATTGTATAAATAATGTTATAAATTAAAATTAAAATTGAGAATTTATTTTGAAATTTAAAAAAAATATGCAAGTTAGGTTAGGAATAGTCAGATACAAACCAGTGACCTGTCCCTCAGAATGAGTTTTTGGTTGGTTGGTTTGTTGAGTTTTATACTGTATTTAATAGATAGGTGTGTACCTAAAACATGTATGTCCAAATAACTGTATACTTGAAATAAAATTCTGTATCAGAACGAAAAAAAAAGCAACTTAAGGGAGAAAGGGTTTATTTCAGCTTACAGTTCTCAAGGGATAGAATCCATCATGATGGTGAAAGCATGGTGCCAAACCATGAGGCCAGTTGATCAGCTTGTCTCATTTGACAGGAAACAGGACAGAGAGTAGGGTATAAAACCTCAAAGCCCACCCCAGTGACTGTTTCCTCTAATAAGTCTCCAGCTCCTCTAGATCCCATAGCTTTCCAAAAAGCACCACCAAATGGCAACAAAATGATGAAACACGGGAGCCAGGGGGAGACATCGCACATTACAACAACAGTGAGTGTTCTTGTAGAGATTTAAGATTGATGATTCAAACAATTTTGGTCAGTATCCTTTTTCTGTTTTTCATATTGTAATTTATGAGATCAACCATAGAATTTAGTGACTTGAAAAAAGGAAGGGATGAAATGACACGGAAAGAATGCTGGTCTTAAGATGCAATAACTTGGTCTTCAGCCCTTTTGTGTTAGTTTCCTACTTTATAAAGTTCAGATGAGATAAAAATGAAAGAGTTAATACAAATGGCCTCTGTTTTTTTTTTTCCTTCAGTTGTGTGAAAGTCCTATACATTTAGTTGCATCTGCATTTCAAGTGATCTTCCTGGGCTAGTCACACACTCTGTAACACTCTTCCATTTCCAAGCAGGGGCAACAGTTCCCAGTAATTCATTAGATCATGCCAAGCAACTGATACTCTGCATACAGCACTGACTTGCTGAACTATGATCATCAGTAGATCAGGATGTTTTAAACCCATGGTGAGTGTATCAGGATATAACTCCACTGTAAAAGCACATATGTATTTAAAAGTTAGATAATTCCAGATCTTGACAAGGGCATGGTAGTAGTTTTATTAGTTACAATTATAAATTGTTACGATTCCGGGTTTCACAGGAAGTACATCACTTTTAACAAAATTAAATTTTAGTAGTACAAAAATCACAAGAAATTAGAAATGCGATGGATACATTCAGATGCCTCAGTGAAATTTTAAGCAAAACAAAACAAATTTAATTTAGTAAAAAATATATGCCCAGGATTTCCAACCAAGAACATCTAAATTCCAGTCTTTTCTAAAGTGTTGAGCTATTTTTCAAAACACACAAATTTTACCTGCATCTAGCTCTGCAGAGTATACAGCGGTGAAAACGGTAGCTACATAAAGACCCCAGCTTGGGGTAGTAGTTTGGAATGGATTAATTTTACATCTATGTGTATATAGAGAAGGAAGCAACTACAAAGTTAGACTTTGAAGATTTGCATTCTTTACACAGATCTATTCCTACAGAACGCAAAGTCCAGTGTCTGTCTAGTCAATGAACTGTAATCACAACCTCACTGACCTTGATATAAATATATAGGATCCCTTGGTCTGAATTTTGTAAGGTCTGAATATTTTCACTAGTTACCAATGCAGTGTGTCTATCAAGAAGCTGTAGTTACTACAAACAACTTAAAGGGCGAGGGTTTTATGTCTTATAATTTACTCCTTTTGTTCATACAGCTTTGTGAAGTCAATGTGGTGAATAAGATCCAAGAAGTGACAATTCTCTAATTGGCTGAAACAATTTGTGTAAACCACTCAGACTGTGTTCATCCCAAATAGCATCAGGCATTTTAAAAGCAGTTTCTCAACATCTAAATTGTATTTTGGAATGATTTGGAATGTTCCAGCATTTAACATCTGTTAGCCATTGCTTCATTGCTGTGACTAAACTTGTATCTATCTCCTCCTTACCTCTACCCATTCTTCAAGTCAAGGTATTTTTCTGAAATATAAGGTAAGTTCAGAAAGTGGCTTTGTGACTTTTTCATGATTCTGCACCAATGATAATTTTATATTACTAGATGAACATTTTATACTCTATATTATATATACTCGTAGTTTTTAATGTGTCTGCTTCAAAATGAAATGTAAATAAGATGCATATACTTATATTTATTTTTTAAAAGAAAAATAGCTACAAAAGCTTCCTCTTCATCTTGGTAAAAAAAAAATATTACCCACTTCAGAGGATCCTATTCTGTACAATATTAATTTAAAAAGGAATATAACAAAATACGTTAGCATACCTAGTTGTACTTATACTGATGCATCCAACGGCTTAATCTTTTGAACTACTTACGTGTATATATACATCCTATTAACTATTTTCTGAGATCAATTAAAATAATGTCTAATTTCAAAATTACAAGTTACTTGATTTTAAGTAAAATAAGTAGAAAATGAAGGTAGTGTATAATTTTTCAGAGCTCATTTATAGGAATGAGCTCATCATGACAGGAAAGTTGCAGTAACTGGCTTATAACAGTTCTTTCTCGGGAGCTAACTCAAGGACTGATTTTCCCAGCACAGATTTTCCAAAGGTCAGACAGGAAGCTTCACTCCCAGGGCCACATCAGTAGACAAGAGCTCTCCTGCATCTAATTACTAACTTCAGCCAGAAAAGCACAACTGTGCTATCTATATCATCCTTCATTTTTGTGTAAAACATCGACGCTTGGTGTGCATGTGTGCAAAGGCACACAACCATGAGTAAATCATGTCTCTTTGGATATTTTCATAGTGTCCATAAGTAGCAACTTTGGATTTCTTTTTGCTTAACTTTAGGCCAACAAATTCAGGCTTTAAAATTGAATTTAAAGAGCATTTTTTTGAAAGTCTCTAATATCTTTTAGAAAGTCCTTTTGTCCTACTTAAAAAGGAAAATATTTTATGCAAAATCAATGTCACGAGAACTTTATAAAGTGACTTTAATGCCCTTAGTAGTAGTATACACTGTTTCTTTCATATAGGAATCCTACTTCTGCTTCGGGGAGCAGGTATGGTATCCAGTCCGCTACCCTGGAAGAAATAGAACTCTTTATTTTGTTATAGATATTCCTCAGTAATAAATGTAACCATATATATATATGATTATCATATCATATATTATATTACATATTATGTTAGATGTATTTTATATAATATATTGAGTGGATCAAATCAAAGTAAGAAATTTTAAAACATGTCACTAGGATTTTATGGGCAATTAAAATTTACTATAATTATAAGATTAACTACTAAAAAATCAAACAAAATAAGAAGTCTCACTGCTCCATGATCCTAAACACACTCTGTTTCTTGGTAGTAGTCAGCGTGGTTTTACTTGTAGAATACCACTGTTGTCCTCATTAGACTAAACTTTGCATGGCTGGGTACTGCATTGCTTTGCACTGTGCTAAAGCCCTCAAAGTTATCAGAGTTCCTAACAAATAGCAGCTATTTGATAATGCATTGATAATGCTGACCAAGTGAACACATGCCAGACATTTTGGTCTTCATAAAATTCTCTATCGGGTTGTTGTCTCTAACAACTTTAGTTTTCCTTCCTTCCTTCCTTCCTTCCTTCCTTCCTTCCTTCCTTCCTTCCTTCCTAGCACTCACCCTGGTTCATTTCATCCCCACATCTGCCCCACTTTATCTGTTTTAATCCAATAACGTTTTGACTGAATATGCCTGAGGTTTTGGAGGAAAGGTCTCAGAGGAGTAGCCACATTTAAAGCACAATGCCCTACCATGGTGTTACAGCTAATGCCGTCCTCCACACCTTGTCTGAGTACAAACTGGCCGCTAAAAGTATTTACATCTTGGCTCTGAAGAATGCACACTGCTCACGTACCTCTAAATTAGAGTGATCCAAAAATGTTTCTTCATTAAAGCCTCAGCAGTAGTCATTTATGACAGCTTTAAAACCATTACACTTTCATAATGCTTAATCACAACAATAAAAAGTACAAATAATGAATTTTGACACTTCATGCTTCTCTCCCAGGCTCATGTGGAGGTCTATGTAAGCCCTTAATTTTGAAAAGCTGTTAAATATTGAAATGTGAATCTGAGAGAAGTCTGACTTCCTTAGGTCCACTGTTGACATCACTCTTTTGCACTCAAGGAGTATACAACGTAGTCAGTCGGAACAGACCTTGGAACCACGCTGCTTGTGTTTGACCCCCCACCACCACTTGCCAGCAGTGTTTACTCTTTATGTTGCACTAAATCATGATATGGAAATTATTTAAAGCAATGTGCATCATGGAGTACACATTTAGTAAGTTTTGGATATTATTAATATCTTGTTTTCCTTTTAATTAAAAATGTATTTTAAAATGGAGTCCTATATTACAGACTTCTAATTCCTTGTTATTTTTCTGTGTAATTAGTTTATTATGTGACTTATACATATGCGTATAATCTGTATTGTGCTCCATCCTGTAGAAGCTGCAAAATATATTGTGTGTATGTAAACATGTATATGCAAATAAGGAATGTGGAAAAATATGTTTAAGGCAAAGTACAGAAAAAGTATTACAATGAACTGAAAAACCTTACTCTTAGATCCACTCTTTGGTGATGATAAACAAAAACACAGCTTTTCAAAAGATCTCTACCTTTAAATATATAGTCAGAGCCTAGTTTGTTTTATTCTGCTGTTTTTGTTGATAGTTTTTCTGTTAACAATTATTCCTTACACATCAATGTAATAGTCCAATTAGGAAGCAAGATTGTCTTCAAGACGTGATACACTGTTCGTACAGTTTGGTTTCTTGGTTTTCTGGTTTGAAGCTTCAGTGTTGGTTTTATGAGGTAGTCAATAAGCAACTTGCCGGGAAATGTTGCTTTTGTTTCTTAAGCATACGTCATCTTCCCAAGGTAGTTAGCTGGCACATACCCTTTCTGACCTTGTGCTTCAGCTAACCACCACTCTTTATTCCCACTTAGATCACAGAATCTAAGTATATGGACTCGCTGGTACTCTTGAAGGCTGAGTTCATGGTCACTCCGTGCTTGGAAAGCATGGACTGCATAGAAAATCTAAACCAAAAACAAAAAGACATGATTGGTAGCAGAACCTAAGACTTTGGAGAAACTTAACACGCTTTCACCTTTAAGAAGCACTGCTAAGGTGCTCTTGGTTTTACTGTCATACAGTCCAGCTCTTCCTGATGGATTTGATAGGATGTGGCCTAGACAGGTCTGTGCTTGAAGGTGCTTTGGCAGTTTCTGTAAAATATTTTTGATTGTTAATTCTTTGACTCAATCTCTTAAGAATCTCTTCCACAGAAACAGAAATACTGACAGACAGATGTTTCTACAACAAAATTTCTGTATGTATAACAAAAAGCAGGAGAGGTATGGGCACATGCTGAAGAGTTAGAAAAAGTGAATTAAAAAGACAGTCTCGTTAAGTAAATTTGTAGTCACTTAGATGGCATTTTATGAGAATAACAATATCGAAAATATTCGTATTAAGTATTTTTTGAAATGTAAAATTACAGGCTGGGAGATGGCTCAGTGGTTAAGAAAACATAACCTCTGCAAAGGACCTAACTGAGGTCTCAGTTCCCTCTTATGAGTTTCATAATCAGCTGCTAGAACTCAAGTTCCAAGGTATCCATGGCCTCTTCTGACTCTGTGGATAACTGCACTCACAAGTACACAGACACACATGTATAAAGTTAGATGAAAAACAGACACCTAGAATTACTAAATGATTTCTTTGATTGGTAGGTCTATAAGTACTTTTCACTGTTCCTTCTAAGTTCTTTCATTTTCTAAATCTTAATAAGCACATTGATTAAAATTTATAACTTCACAAAATTAACTGACCTTGAAGAAACTAATAAAATATATTTCAATGAAACATTTCTGTGACCTCAGAAAAATAGTTAGTAGATAAGTTTGAAGACCTCAAATTGCTGTTTAATTCATCTTCCAGTAAAATTATAAGACTGCTGATTAAAAAAAAGTTTATGATACAAAATTAAGCAACTAACCAACAACATTTATATAGTCATTTAATCAAACTTTGCAAAGCACATTATCAGAAACCTAACAACTCAGCTGAAGAAACAACAAATACTGAGAAGATAAAGCAATAAACCCACAGAACTGCCACCACCACCAAGCTACACATAAACAGCGTGGTACATTTTGAAGGTAGTATTTCATAAGGGAGGGGTTGATAAAAGAGTTAGTATGTCACATCCACAGAGGTGGAGGCATGAAAAGAGATAGAAAAAAAGGAGGGAAACTGAGGACAAGTAGATCAAGGTTCCATGAGGCATGAGTTGATGTCACTAAGCAAGAAAAGAGACTGGACAGGATAGTGAGACTGTTGCTATGGAAATCTTAAACCATTCCTCACCCCAACAAAACTCTGATTCCATTGATTGGTACCTAACAAGGAGCCTAAGGCATTATTCAAGAAAAGGAACCATATGGCTGAGATCTGAATGCCCCCCCCCCCCAGATTCTAAACTTATAATAATGAGGTGAAAATTAGGAAGAAGTGATTAGGTCTTAAGACAGTGCCTTTATGAATGGGAACTATTTTTATAAAGGCAGCGCAAGACCCTCATGCCTTCTAAGTGAAAATCTACCCAAAAGGTGCTACCCATGAACTACAGCGTTGACTTCATCAAACACCAAGAATGGTGCCTTGATCTCAAACTTCTTGTCTCTACAACAGTGAGGATTTGTTTGGAAGCCACTTAGTATATGGTATTTTGCTAATGGAAACTTGAATGGCTAAAGGTAGGCCTCACACCCCTCAAGTGGTCATATATGCCATGCTATATGGTATGTTCAGATGTTTACTTGACCTAAAAGGTTTGGATATCATATAGGGGATTGTGGTGCAAGCATGAAAATAGAGTCTTGGAAATGGATTACTTTGTTTGAAAGTAGAGAAGAGAGCAGAATGGGGGAGCTATAAATTATTAGTTAAATTTCAGCTGTAATAGATACCTTTTTAAACAGAGCCTGTGATAGTTTATGTCGCATGGGCTATAACCTCAATAACCCTCTCAGCTAAGAGTTAGAAACACTCTTAACCACAATGCTACCCAGTACTGCTAGGATTCACATCCTAGCAACTAACTCCCAATCCTGTGCCTTTTAGTGCTTCTTTCTTTTAGGGTTTTAGGAAGCAAACTCTTACACAGTGGTTGCCCGGAGAAAGGCTGTGGAGTCTCTCAAACTTCACTACCATTTTGTAGTGTTGAAAGCGACAGTATTAGATTAGATCCACAAGATTAGTATATGGTTAATTTGGTTTGCAAAAGAATATAGGAGTGTGATGTGCTAAATTATAGTCACCAAAGAATCTATAAGAGCTGGAACCAGCAGCTGTAGCCATCTTTGTAATTTGAACCAATAATAAATATGCTTTCTCAGTGCAGGCATGGATTTTTCAGAAGGATAGCTTAGCTACTGTCCCATTTCTCAACACCCATGCAGTCTTTCGCTTGGGCACACATTTCCTCAAAGGGAAAATAAATTTCAATTATATATATATATATATATATATATATATATATATATTTATTATTATTATATGCATTTTATTGATGGTTTTTGAGACAGACTCTCACTAAGCAACCATTGTCTGGTCACTGTGTAGATCGGGATCACCTTGAATTCACAGAGATCTACTTGCCTCTGAGTCTAGAGGGTTGGAATTAAAAACGTGCCACCATGCCTGGCTTAAAATACATATTTGAAACAAATATAAATTCTCATGAGATCATAAATTTAAAATTCGAAATTATATAACACTTTTAGATTTTCACAGTCCAAACTTATTTGGTACTTTCCAGTTCTCATGTAGCATGCTAACTACAGGTATACTTTATATACTTAAAATGGGATTAAGTCAGCTTTGAAAGAAGAGTAGTTTCTCTGGTCTTCTAACTCTTTTTTCTTTGGTTGTTAGAAGAAAAATTGGAAGTTTTCAATTGTTGTGAATTGAAGAGTTGTGAAAAATTTTTCATTTTCAAATCTCAGTATACACTTTTCTGACTTTAAATGTGCATATGCTTTTTTCAGAAACATTAATTAAAATGTTAACATGAATTGTAATCATGCATTCCTTTTTTCTCTTGTCATTTTTAAAATGTTTCACTGTTTGCTTCTTTGCCCATTGTAAATCTGCATTTCATTTTACGTATGATAACCTGGCCATACAGCTCAGCTCTCCACTCATTTGTTTAAACATCACCTATATCATGGCTCACCCACAGATTATTACCCATAAGCGTCATGCTGTTCCCTGTGGCACCATTGCCACCTCTGCAGTCTCTTACTCTGTATATTCCTGCATTTAATTTATATTTCATAACTTCACTGCATTGTGCAATCTCATTTTATTGATTTTATCCCAATTCTCCAGCTATGAACAATAAAACTCATAATGTATTTTAATTTTTCAAAACTAAATAGCTTTTAAAACAGCATTTACTATATTAGTTCCAAAGCCAAAGTGATTACATTGCATGAAAAAATACCCATTCTTTTCTTTCAAACTATAGAAGCGAGCTTTTATTTTCTTCATTCAATGATAATATATTTTCACCAGTAAGTATGTTTTTATGAAGTAATCTGGGGATTTAATAAAAATATTTTAAGAGGTTTAAACATGAGGGTTTGAGAAAAGAGTGTTTTTCAGACACTAAAACACACCTGGGAACCTGGATATGAATTCCCTAAGAGAGTTTCCCATTGTTGACTATATATGTATATAGTCGTGTATGAATATATGAATGGTTTGGATGAGTTTGAAACTATTATCGTAAAAGGATAGTCAAGAAACCAAATCACAGCACAGGGTGTCTCTTGAGGCACTTTTGATATGGTTATAACTGATAAGAACAAAGGGAGACCACAGGCATGCTGGGAGGAAGGGTATCTTCAGTATAAACAAGTAGTTTTTAAGGAAAACATTTCAAAAGTAAATAAAGTTAAGCAAATGCTGTAAATGTCTCTTATTCTTTTTTCTTCTCCACCTTGTCCTCCCTCACTCCATCTTTGTTCTTAGATAATAAAAATAAAATTGTATATTTCTGCAATCTATTTTGCCCTTCAGAACATTATAAAAATACTTAAAAACCTTAGGATCAGCCTCTTAGATTGTTGGTGAACTTGCAAACACACAGCATGTTCAGCATGTAGTATCATTATCCTAAGTGATTATAAAATATAAAGGCAAAGACCAGATCACAAGTTTGAAAAATCAACAAACTTATCTAAAAATGTGCATGTAATTATACCTTATAGAAAAGACCACATGCAAAGAAGCACATTTCCAAAATAACTGAGGAAACTCACTGAGGTGGTATAGTTGAAAACGGCCTCCCTAGGCTCATATGTTTGAATAATAGGTCTCCAGTTAGTGGAATTGTTTGGGAAGGACTAAGAGGTGTGGCCTTGTTGGAGGAGGTTTTTTACAAAAGCCCATGCCATCTCCACTTAAGATGGTCATGGGCTCTAACATTTTAAAAATGTAAGATGCAAATAAACTCTTTCTTCCGTAAGTTGCTTAGGTCATGGTATATTATCACGGTCATAGAAAGATAATAAGACAGCCTCCAAAGCCATTCATAGGTTCTCTTCATCCTTTAGATCCAGGTTAAAGACTCAGATCAAATATGGAAGTCACAGAGCAGATACAGCATTAACCAGTCTCCAGTGGTCTATACCTCAGTGATTCTCAAAGCCTGAGATTCCCCCAAATATCAGATAGAAGCTAAGTCTGCCCATCCACTTGCCCATGTCAGGGTTCACTTGAATTCTCTGCTAGACTTCAGGATGGCCTACAACTCCTCTTAGGATGTACTTCTGCAAGTCTGGAGGATGACAGAAAGTACCACCACTGTAGGAAAGAGCAGAGCAAGAAACAGTAGAACCAAGCAGTGCCCAGCGAAGCAGTACAGGCTACAGCTGATTTTTTTTTAAAGTTTAAATAGCTATGCAAAAAAAACTTCTATTGGGACACATCAGATATGAGATTTGACAAAGATATAATTTTCAACCATTTTCATTCACTTACCTGGACCTCTGTGCTATATCATTCCCTTAAACTGTGACCCATAAATATAAGTATTCACATACTGCCTGAGAGCTGATGGAGTGGAAATACCAGCCTGTGGCAAACATGAAACTATAATCCTCTCTCCTTATTTCCAAGGATGAAGAGCAGCTGCGTTAGGAGACTGAAAACCACCAGCCCATGTGCCCTTGTTGTCAGTGGTAAGGCATGAAAGGACTTGCTCCCTCCTGCCTCTGGTCTTTTCCTCTCTCCTTCTGCTGGAGTTCCCACAGGGTCACTTCTTTTTGCTGTAATTGAACTGGCGCATACTCTAAGCTTGCAATAGGGAGATTCTCAATGTGAACAAAGTCATTTTGATCTTAGGGAGGCTACCAGAGATCCCATGTGACCACTGATCCAAGGTGTGCTTCTCAATCCAGGTTATTAGTAATAATGCTAGTATTTACGCAAGGCCAGTTGTCTATGTTAACTATGTTAATTTGTCTGCATACTCAGAGTAAACAGAGAACAAATAGGATTTTTTAAAAGGTATTTTCTATTTTCAGAAAGAGAAAATTTCTTCCCTTTTTCTCCCCTCTTATTAAAGAAAACATGTAGCATCAATTCACTTGAAAAATGATTTGGTATTTCCTCTAAAAGTAAAACATATATTTACCATGCCAGGGTACAAATCCGTTCTTGGATGTCTGTCTCAGAGAAGTGAAATCCACATAGACACATACATTAGTGTCTACGGAGACATTATTCTCAATAGCATCAAAATAGACATTGCCCAAGTGTATTAAATGACAAATTGTTAAAATGCTATATCTATGTCATGGAATACTGTTAAATAGTAAGAAAAAAAGATGAAAAATACATATACTTAAAGCAAGGATGAATATTAAACACGTGCTGAGAGAAAAAAAGCCAGCTACAAAACACCCGATACATTCCATCCATGTGAAATATACAAAGGTGTAATAAAGAAATGCAAAATAGATTAGTGATTTTCAGAAGCTGGATGTAGGAAAAGCTGGAATTGCAAATGAACCTAACCTTTGAGCATGAAAGAAATGTTCTAAACTTGGTTTGCACAATTTATACTAAATAAACTGTAGCCATACTAAAAGTCGTTGGATTTCACATCTAAAATAAGTGAATTCTACAGCATATAAGTAAGAGTTAAATACTGCTATTTATGAAGGGCAGTGTGGCAAGCTCTGTAAAGATTTTCTATATACTCTGTGACCCCTCAATATATTTATTAATTTTCCTTCCAAATGTATTTATAATAGCATAGAAAAGAAGAGGAATAATACTGGAATTATCATTTTACACTTTTAAATACAAAATATTTTCAGTATCTTTGACCGGTTAGTAATTATGTGTATGACTTATTCTATAAAATGGGTGTGACAGTATATGCTCATAGTTATACCACTTAGGAGTCTGATGTGAAAGGCCAGCCTGAGCTGTATCATGAGATTCTGCCTCAGCTCAATATAAACATTTTAAGACACTTCAGAGAACTACTTTAAGGAATAAATTAGCTATATAACTAGAGTGGTGTTTAAGTGTTAAAAAGGGAACACATATAATATGTTTTTATGTATATATTTATATATGCATAAAGTATATCTGAAAGACATGATGTCCAAGGGGAAAGGAATAAAGAACCTGCATTTAGTTTATGTATATCATCCCATTTCCACCTTCTAAAAATAAAATGTATTACACCAATGGAAAAGAAATTTAGGCTAATGGAAATTACTGTGTTAAAAAGGTGGAAAATTAGGTGGTCACTACTTGGAGATTAATAGTTGAAAATACTGAAACTTTATGAGGTAGCAAAAATGAATATTACATTATAATTAGCTTACTGATTTATGAAGGTGCTGTGCCATGATCTTTGCATTGATACAACTAGCGAAAGGCAAGTGGGAAAGCTTTCGTGGTTAGCAGATGGTATTAATGGGTGTGCAAGTCCTCCCCAGTTCAGTAAAGACATTGCTTCTAACACAGTGGTTCTCAACCTTCCTAATGATGTGACCCTTTAATACAGTTCCTCATGTGGTGACCCCCTAACCATAAAACTATTTTTGTTTCATGACTTCATTACTTCATGACTGTAATTTTGCTAGTTATGAATCGTAGTGTAAATATTTGAGTTTTCCGATGGTCTTAGGCGACCCCTGGAAAAGTGTCATTAGACCTCTCACAAAGGGTCGCCCACAGGTTGAGAAACACTGTTCTACCTGATTCAGAGATAAGTGCCTACCTGATATTGATAAGCACAACTAAGCTGCCTTTTTCCAGTGGTGGAGCGTTAAAAAAGAAATTTCTGACCACCCTGAATATTTACCAGTAGAGTAGTGACTGCTGTGATTTGGCTTTGTGATGCCTATTCTGTGTCAAGAGTTCAGCATACACATCATTTCTAGTGATCACAACATCTCTGCAGTATAGGAATTTTTTTCTTTTCTTTTCTGTTTTGGAGGAAAAGCGTTTAGAGAATTAAATTCTTTGCTCAACAGTCCGCAGATGGTACGTGCTAATTGACTTCTCAGTGTCAAAGCTGGCACTTTCCCTATCCGTATTTCAGCTCAATGTGAGCATTTAGAGATCCGTTCGTTTGATTGGCCAAGCATCTTTACATCGAGGCTTAAAGTCTTACCTGCTCATCTACCTCTTGAAAACTATCAACATCAGCACCATTGGTTTCAAACTTCCCACAAGAGCCACTAAGAGATGAGCTGCTGTCGCTTATGCTGACCCTGTCACCAGCCGGCCGGCAAGACACAAAGAGACTGATGTTCTCAAAATCGTCGTCACAGAATCTGTTCTCTGTGTCCACCTTCTGCTCTTTCCCTGGGTTGTAGGGCTTTAGGAAGGAGGAATACACGTAGCCTTTTACAACTGGTAGAAAGAGAAAGAAAGCACCAGGGTTATGTGAGGACCATCCCCAAACACGCAGAGACTCCTGGGAGATTCTGAGAAACTTACATCCGGTGTCAACAAACCACCTGCTTGTACTCCCCAGAGGATCCTTTTGTTCCAGGACCGCTACCAACTCCCCTTCTAGAAGATTGATGTCATGTTCTTGGGTGGCATTACATTTGCGCTTAGCTCGGTAGAGTTCCTCTGCTCCATATGTGGACAGAAGTTTAGAGCGGTGAACGTCAGTTTGATGTGGCACTTCTGGCTGAGGAAAGTAAGAAGTCCTGATTCAGACTGACGTACAGTGGAATCCTCGTTGAGTCCATAAAGACTTTCCTTTAGAGAATTACTTCACTATATAAAGTATGTGCCAATCTAGATATATGATAAGGCGGATGCTTGGGTCAGGCTGTTAATATATTCGGCTGAGATTTTCAGTTTTAAAATCTCAAGTAAGCACATGAGGGCAGTGTTGTAAAGAAAGAAAATTCAGTCAGGCATAAGAAGGCAGAGGCTCAGGAGCTGGCTTGATGGCTCAGAGGATAAAGGCAGCTGTCCCAAAGCCTGTTGACTTGAGTTCAATCTCCAGACTTACAGAGCAGAAGGAGAGAACCATTCCCATAAGTTATCCTCTGACCTCTAAATGTATTCCCCCCCGTGTGTGTGTGCGTGTGTGTGCACACACGCACACACACACATTAAATAAATAAATTACATTAAAATTTTAATAGCAGGTTTAAAGATGACAGAGGCTCTAACAACTCCTGGGTGTTGAGTGATATTTTACTATTTCGTATTTAATATCTTGTATAGTAAGGACTTTTGTAATGTAAATTGCCTATGTGCATCTTTTCCTGGGTAAATAAGGCAGGAGTCATGAAGGGACACTTTCCAAACTCCGGCACTAAGTGATTCTGAAAAAAAAAAAAAACCCACTGTGTCTCTGGAGGCTGGGAATGAAGGGGGATGGAAATTCGGGGCTACACTGTATGATTTGTCTCTTTAAACCCCTAGTCAACAAATCTGAGTATCTGCTGTGTATCAAGCATGTTTGGCATGTTTGGGAACTGTCATGAATAAAACAGAAGCAAATATCACTTTCCTACAGAGTTTATAATATAAAAGGTAGTAACAGTAGAACAAGCAAACAGCATGTGATTTGGTGCAGACAGTATGGGGATCCATGTGCTACAATTTGGACAAGGCATAGAGACGGTGTCTTAACTGCCGTGGACAGTCTAAACTCACCAGAACCTGTGCAGGCTTCTTCTTCTCAAAGCTAAGTTTCCTCTCAATAAAGGTGGCACTGTTGTCCTTTACAAAATTCAAGTTGTGAACCTCTTCCAGCACTTGATTCTGAATCTCTGAGATGCCCAAGACTGGCAATGGTACCTGTGGGAGAAACGGTGTGATATTTTCAGATAACCAATCACACTGGTTATTGACTCTGCGGGGATTGTGGTGATGGTGGGGCTAAGACCATCAGGGCAACTCTCTAGCTTCTGTAAAGATGGGCGATCTAAGATTACTGAAGTCCCACAAATGATAGGGAGGACCTTTTAAAGCTTCAACACTACATAGGACAACAAAGCAGGAAAGAAGCAAGAAAGACCCAGGAGTAAAGTTCTGGAAGCTGTGGGGAGATTATCTATATCTATATCTATATCTATATCTATATCTATATCTATATCTATATCTATATCTATATCTATATCTATATCTATATAGCAGACCATAGAACACAGGTGATTTGGGCAACAGAGAGTGATTAGAGGAAGCTAAATATTAAGCAGGATAAGAGGCAGGTAGGTGGAGGAGGTGTGAGGAATGGATTAACCAAAACTAAGGATATATTAGGAAACCTTACAAAACCTCATTGGTTTGTAAGTTAACTGAAAATATTAGTTTTTAAAAATGAGTTTGAGCAAAAACATCCCATATCCGTGAACGGCATTACAAGGATGTGGAGAAAGAGGAACACTCCTCCATTGTTCGTGGGATTGCAAGATGGTGCAACCACTCTGGAAATCAGTCTGGTGGTTCCTCAGAATATTGGACATAGCATTACCTGAGGACCCAGCTATACCACTCCTGGGCATATACCCAGAAGATGCTCCAGCATATAACAAGGACATATGCTCCATTATGTTCATAGCAGCCTTATTTATAATAGCCAGAAGCTGGAAAGAACCCAGATGTCCTTCAACTGAGGAATGCATAAAAAAAAATGTGGTACATTTACACAGTGGAGTATTACTCAGCTATTAAAAACAATGAATTTGAGAAAATTTTAGGTAAATGGATAGAACTAGAAAATATCATCCTGAGTGAGGTAACCCAATCACAAAAGAACACACATGATATTCACTCACTGATAATTGGATACTAGGCCAGAAGCTTGAAATACCCAAGATGCAACTCACAGACCACATGAAGCTTATGAAGACCGAAGACCAAAGTGTGGGTGCTTCGGTCCTTCTTAGAAGGAATAACAAAGTACTCAAGGGAGCAAATAGGGTGACAAAGTCTGGGGCAGAAACTGAAGGAGGAGCTGTCTGGAGACTGTTCCACTTGGGTATCCATCCCATGTGCAGTCACCAAAGGTAGATGCTGATGTGGAAGTCAGGAAGTGTATGCTGACAGGAGCCTGATATAGCTGTCTTCTTAGATGTCTGCCAGAGTCTGACATATTCAGAGGTAGATACTCACAGCTAACCATTGAACTGATCATGGGTTCCCAATGGAGGAGTGAGAGAGAAGACTGAAGGAGCTGGAAGTGTTTGCGTCCCCATGAGGAGAGCAACAATAACAACCAACCAGAGCTACCAGGGTCTAAACCACCAGCCTGGGAGCACATAGGGAGGGACCTATGGCTCCAGCTGTATATGTAGGGGAAGATGGCCTTTTCGGGCATAGGTGGGAGAGGAGATCCTTGGTCCCATGAAGGCTGGGTGCAGAGTGTGAGGGAATTCGAGAGTGGGGAGGTGGGAGTGGGAGGCGTAGGAGGGGTACATTCTCATAGAAGCAGGAAGAGGGGGGGATGGGATAGGGGGTTCCTGGGCTGCGGGGGTGGGGGGATGGGGTAAGGGAATAACATCTGAAATGTAAATAACATATCCAATTTTAAAAACCCTCAAAAACAACAACAACAACAACAAAGAGTCCTTTTTTTTTTTTTTTTGAGTGTGGCCGTTGCTTGGTTTCTAGTGCCATAGTGGAAGAGCCCATACCCATGCATATGTGGGCAGCAGTATTTGGATTCCATGGGTATAAACAAACAAACAAGAGTGTGCCAAGATCTCTGTCTTCCACTCTGCCTTTCTTAGTAGCTATTACAAACTATGTTGCCACCTAAATATAGGTATAAAGCGATGATGATGATGATGCTTAGCATGGGATATGGAATAGGGAAATGAGAGTCCACACAGAAGACAAGTAAAGGAATTCTCCAGACTAAGAGTAGAGTATAATATCAAGATTATAGTTATTCATCAGATAAAAGGGAGCTACCACACACTGAAGCAGATGAAAAAGCTCTGGGAGGAATTTCTGTGGGAAGACACAGTTGACAGAAGCGTGTGTGTGTGTGTGTGTGTGTGTGTGTGTGTGTGTGTGATAGAGACAGAGAGAGAATATGTGCACATATATCTGTCCACATAAGAAGAACATGCATATAGCCATATGTGCACTTGCAGAGGCCAGAGGGCAAGGTGTTCCTCAATCCTTTTTCACCTTACTTTATGAAGGGTATCTCACTGAACATTGAGCTTACCAAGTGGCCACACTAGTCGGCTGAGCAATCTCCCAGGATGCTTGTCTCTAATTCCATCACAGAGTGTGCTGTCATGTCTGGCTTTTAGGTGGGTGCTGGGATATGAACTTAAGTCCTAATGCTTGCATTCTACCCACTAAACAACCACTGAACATCTCCCCAGTCTCCTCTGAAATCCATAAACAGTGATTTAGTCAACAGGTAAAGGCAGGCAAAAAGAAGGAGGAGCAGGAGCAGGAAGAGGAAGATGAGCAGCAGCAGCAACTGGTAAAGGCAAAACCGAGTATTATCTTTAAGGAAAGCAAAACCTGTACGTCAAAGAAAAAGTAAGTATGCAGTGTTGTGTGCGGCTCGAGTCTAGTCAGCATTCACATTGCGAGCTGCCTGTCTGTGCTCACTCACGTGTTGTCCCTCCCTTCCCACCTTCCCCAATACTTCACACATTTGATCAGGAGGAAGCATGGTGACGGTACTTGCCCTTTGGCTTCTGTGTAGGATCAGGATAGAAGAATGAGATGAGCGTATTTATTTTATGATTTTTTTTCCGGCAGGATAGACTGGAAAGTACCTCTCTATCATGTTCCCTTCTGCACAGGTCCTCTGACACAATCTTGTTACCATCCTCCAGTCATCCCTCTAGCCTGCCTGGCACATGCCTCCTTCTTCTGTCACGGGGAAGGCAGAGTGTCCACGCTTAGATACACTTTTGTACGTAGTCATTTTGTTTGTTTGTTTCAAATGCTCAGCCTCAATGCATCACTATTTCTACTGGTATCATGACTCACACATAAGTCAAATAGTTTATACTCTGTGGATGCTTCCAAATTTATGGAGTAACTATAATCAAAGGGTCAATGTTTGAATAAATATGTTGCAGAGACATAAAGACAAAAAGTGAAATTTTATATTCATCCGTAATGTGTTATGCCTAAAGCTGAAAAACAGTTCAACAACAACACAAGAGTGCTAGTTCGTATATGAAGTTAAATGCCAAGGGAATCACCTAAGATGATTGAGAAGTCATCTCTGATGAGGGAGAGATGGAGTTCTAGGATTGAAAGACAATTATTTCTTTTGGTCAAACATTTTTGAGTCTTTAAATCATGTGCCTACTTCATGCTAATTAAAAATAAAAAGTATAATAGAACTTTGATTTTAAACATTAAAATTAGAATTATCGTAAGATCCAGCAATCTCACTTTCAAGATGTCCAGAGATACTGAAATCAGGATCTTGGAGCGATATTTTCATTATCATTGTCAGTAGCCAAGAGATGGAAATAGTCAGAATAGCCATCAAGAGAGATGAGTGAATAGGCAGTATATTCTACACACTCATGGAGATACTATTAACACTTAGAGGAAAAACCTTGTCACATGCTACATGGGAAACTAATAGTACTATACTAAGTAATATATGCCAGTCACAATGAGAAAAATGGTGATTTCTCTTACATGAAGGATTCAGCATAGTTAAATAGAAACAGAAGGGTGAATGGTGGCTGAACGGACCAGGGAAGGGCAGTGGGACATTTGTTATATTGGTTTACTTTCCACTTTGTAATGTAAAAGACTTCTGGCAATCTGCTGTCCAACAATGTAAGTTGTGAGCATACCAAACACTTTGGGATTGTTCACTTAGTATGATTCAAAGGACAATCTGCTATACATTTACGACAAAAGATACACACTTCTCATTGTAGTCATGTGCAAAAATGTAGGCAGGCAGGGAGAAAGCAACTTGCCCAAGGTGATATGGTAATGGGTAGGTATTAATACACAGTCTCTTCCATGCCAGTCTTCAGTATTCAGCATTTGATCTTTTCAGAGCCTCATAGTCATGCAAGATATTATCAGGGAATGTGTGAAGGATGCACAGTGTCTGTCTTACTTCCTACAACTACTGCATGTGACCACAGTGACATCAGAACACAACCATGGAGGCACACACTGTAGAATAGAATCATTTTATTGAAGATACTCTTCCCCAGATTGATTTTACTTTACTCTTTTAGTAATTTCTCAAAAACAAAGACTCTCTTTTCTCTTCTTCTACTGTAGACCACATGGTGGAGATTTTCCTTTTATATATACACACACATATATATATATGGCAACTTTAAAACTATACGATTCAAGATGCATAAGGACATCTGAGCAACTTCATACTTAAATGACAACACACAGGGGCCACACGCATGCACACCCTGAATGATGACTAACATTGATGTGGCCCAGGGTTAGTAGCATGCTCACCGTCTTGACTGTGGAATAAGCCTGCAGAGCCACCTGCATCAAGTCCCGGAGGAGGGTGGCAAAACTAAACAAGCAGTTCAGCAGGATCTTCCTGGCAGCCTGGTTGAACGCTTGTAGCTCTTCCACCAGCTGGGCATTGAGGGCCTCATACTCTCGTTTGGCTAAGTCTGACTCAGTGGTTGCTGACCGTGGCAGGGAGCTATTATAGTCCAGCAGTTTGTCATAGCGTTTCTGGATGAGCTTCTGAGGCCCTGGAAATAAGGACAGCAAGGCTGACAGGGGGCTGAGGATGAGTCTCTGAGAGCGAGCTGCCTGTAAAAGAAAAATACAGCTCCATTAGCAAGAGGATAGCCCACTCTGTGACCAGCGCTGCTCGAAGTAGGCCTACCCTCTCTCCTCTAAAGTTCAAATGGAATGACACCCATTTATTTGAGAAGATGCTCTCACTTTTAGGAGATCTGCCCAAGCTTATTTATTCAGGCTTAAAGCACCAATATGGAGCCTGAAGATGAGCGAGAAGAGAAGTCTGCTCTCCCAAATCGTAACTCTACTGTCTGCAGTGGCTGTGGGTATGCAGTGGGTGCCTCCCTCCTTTCTAACCGCAGAGCCAAGCTGAAGTCTCTATCACATCAGGGCCGGGGAAGTGCCAGAGTGTGACAATGACTGACCAAACTCAGCACCTTCACCTCTTGCTGTCAGTGAAATTGACACAAACAGTCTAAGCAGACAATCCATCTCACTCTTCCACAGTGGCTCAAACCTATTTTTTAATCTCAAGATTTGTGTTTTGGGTGGAATTGTGTTCCCTGTGTGAACATTGATTCTTTAAATGTATACCTTACTCTTGTGGCAGAAATGATCAGAACTAAATGTATTTGTATACATCAGAGGGCTGACGGCTGCTGACTTGTTGTCTGAAACTGTAGGTCTCTGAATTATTAATGAAAAACTTTACAGTAATTCCCAACCCCATGCCGGCACTCAAGAATCCTAGATTTAATTTCTTTTCTTCTTGTGACTGTTCCCTGTATTCTGAAATGCACTTTTATCCTATGTCTGATGGCCGCCAGCCTTACTCTACATCATACATATTATAGTCATCTGGAAGTAGTTTTATCTTTTGTGACCTCAATGATATTCCAAGAAACTCAAGCAACATGCTGTATTAATTAATGTAAATGCTTACCAATAACTTTGTCTGAACTCATGGTAAATTTAAAAGGGAGGGAACCTCATCTGTTAGTGGCACCAGCGATAGCCAACACAAATTAGATTTCATTTTAGTTTATGAAATAATCAATAGATACCAGCCTACTATTTAATGAGCCCCCGGACTTAGCAAAGAATGCTTTTACTGTGTCTTGGATAAGTCACTGTGTTTATTACTTGCCTGGGAGTCACAAGTTACTAATTTTACGATTATGCTACAACTGTAGCATATGCCCACTGTTCCATAGATATGAACTTTATTTTCCAGGCGAACAGATAGGCATATTGTATTTTAAAGTTTTTTTTTGTAGAAAAGTATCATTCATGGCTGGATATGAATAACTTCTCTGTCTTGGGATAAATTTTTGAGTTAATATTTCAATTTCAAAGCATTCAGTATGTCACCCAGTAAAATGCTACTTTTATATCATGCTTTCTGGTGACTGTTTTAACTTGGCAGATCTAATATTACTTTATCAAGGTAGACAGGACAATTTCTTCCTTCTTTCTGTCAAACAATGGAGTGGGCTTGCTAACAGAGAAGCTATGTAGCCTGTGCCCAGATAGTTTTAATAAATATTTATTGGCGTAATGAATTTAAATTGGTGTAAAGAGCACACCATTAATGTCTTTCTTAAAATATCCTTCCTATAATTAAACCTTCCACCAAGACCTAGTCATGGCTTCCCATTAAACCCAGGGATGTTAAACTTTTGTCTATTGATCTCTCAATGGCCTTATCTACCTACCTACCTATATGTCCATTCATGACTGACTCGTGTCTCCATCACTTTATTTTGGATAATGTGAGACTTAATCTTCTTATATTTTAATTTTGTATTTATCTTGTGTTCCTGTTAGAGGGCATTCTTGTCATGAAGTGCATGTGGGGGCCAGAAGACAACTTGTAGGAGTTGGTTCTTTCTTTCTTTGCACCATGTGGATCCTAGAAATCAAATCCAAGGATGAGTCATCCATTATGGTATCCAAGGATGAGCAGGTGTCCATTAAGGCATCTCCCAGGTTCTTGAAAATATTGCATTACATTTTTAAATTTTGCATAGATGTGTGTATGCACGGTGATGGTGAATTCTGATTGTCAGATTGTTGGGATTTGGAATTGCCCAGAAGATTAGCTTCTAGGCATGTATGTGAGGATTTGGGCACTGATCTTTAGTCCCAGTACTTAGGAGGCAAACAAAAGCTTTGCTCTGTGAGTTCAAGGCCAGCCTGGTCTGCATAGCAAGGTGAGATCTTGTTTATCAAAAGAATGTAAATTCCAGCTTTCCATTTCATAATGCCCAGAGAAGCTGTATATTTGGAGTATTTTTACAGTAGGATGTGGGCTTTGTCCCTTCTTAAGGTTTGGACCTATCTGGGGCATCACTGGTTGAAGATTACTTGAGGTAGGGGTGTAGCCTAGATCTTGAGCCTCCTAGGTTATGAATGCTAGAATCATCCAACACAATGGTCATTTGATGAAGACAGTCTGGCCCAAATGCTAAGAGAGCCAACACAGAGAGGTGGTCTGTTGTGCCTTTTGTTCAATAGATTCAATACTGTTATGAAATAATAATACAAGACACAAAACTAAAATTAGTATTACCCAGAAAACTTACCTCCCAAATATTTTATTAGTTAAGAATGTCTTTGTACTTTCTAATATATATTATATAAAACTCTTAAGAGACAAATAGTTTGGGCTGGGGATATAGGACACTGGACACTGGCAGAGTACTTACTTAGCATGCATGGGTTTCTAGATTCTTAAAACAAACAACCTTACTTTGCTGTCTGGTACACCTTGTGCTAAAAATCACAGACACCGAACGTCTGTTCTCCTTCAGTAAGGTCTGGGGGCATTTCCATGGACTCCTTTAAGAAAACCACAGCTTTACAAATGTATATATTCTTAGTATCTCATACACAGACTTAAATGGAATACTGTTTTTCATCAGGCACTGACTACCCCAGAAACAGAGACCGTGTGAGACCGTGTTAAATTTTCATTTCAGTCCAATCCTTACTAAGCCATCCTAAACATAATTATTGTAAAACTTCTGTTTCAAAAGCCTAATTCTGACATTAGCATTTAGTGCACATTTTATTCCAGAAAGTAAGTAAGTAAGTAAGTGTGTGTAAGTAAGTGTGTGTGTGTGTGTGTGTGTGTGTGTGTGTGTGTGTGACTTACAAAGTCTTGGCAGGGATTTGAAGCTTGACTCTGGGGTTCTGTGCAGTTTTTCTCTCCATCCTTGTATGAAATCTCACGGAGCTCTGCCACACTCTGCAGAGTGAAGGGCATGGCTTCCTGAAACAGAGAGTTATGAAAAGAGTCAGTTCTCAGTGAAGTCAGCACAAGTCATGCCTCCCCAATGCAAACTTGCTGTATTTCCCTTTGAGATAGGAAACAAACTGTAAAAACACCATGAATTCCTTCCATCAGTGTAATTGCAGCAATCTATTTCCTTCTCTTCTCCACCCCTCCATAATTTCAGACAGATTCTGGTTCTCTTTGAGCAGGAGGAGCCCATCTTAAAGTTCCCCTGTCACTTCTTAATCTTCAATTCTTACAGACTCCTTATTTTAAAAGGTTCTCTCCTTTGATTTAAACAGCAGCTTTTCTTGGTGAATTTGATGTTATTTTCTGGGGAGGGGGAAGGGGCAGGGGACCAGGGAAGGTATTCACATTGTCATGGATTCAATCTGTGAAAATACCAATGAATGTTCCTAAGAGGCCCTCACTCCCCGAGCAATACCAGAAGGGTGGGGCTTCTACTACCCTGTTGGGACAACTGTGTTTGGGGGCTTGCTTCACAAAAAACAGATTTGCTAACTTGATGTGGGAACAGGCCCTATGTCATGTCAGACAGTAGGGATGGATGCAGCTCACCCTTCTAGAATATAGAACCTTGTCTCCAAAGCAGTGTGCTGGTCGTGCTAATGCTCTGTTAGTACGATATTTTATCAAACTGTGCAGGAACTTACTTCCAAAAACAGATATCCAAGAGAAAAACTTCTGAGAAAAGAAGGGTGTGCTTATTAACTGATTTACATGTAACTCCCTATCCTTCAAGTCATAGCTGCTGTCAAGTTGCTTTCAAGGACACTGTGTCCTCTGTAAGAGCCATTACAAGAAATCCTTGGCCAGCCTTTCCAACGAGTGTAATTGTGTCACATCCCACTTTGGGTTTTTGAAAGCAGAGATTCTCAGGTAGGACAGGACAACCTCCGAAGAGGCTAGAAATTTGTGGGGTGTCGTTTGTGGCCTACTCTATTTGTAAGAGAGCATTTGCTTATTGTAGTTTATCTTGTTTATAGTTCAATTTACTTTCCTTTGTTCTGCATTTTATCCTTATTTTAGGTACTACAAAGGATTATGTTGGTAAAATCGGGCACACACAGTTTCTGTCTCACATGATGAGCTCACGTCTCACAGATGAGCTCATGGGCGCATCTTTATGATAAGAAAGATGCAACTCTCCGGTGATTTGTATTGGAGCAAACTGTGACAGGAAGCTGAGCAAAGACCAAGCCTTCTATGGCTTGCCTTATCAGGATGTTGCAGGCTCCCATGTTTGGTACAGTTAGTATAGACACGGACCTGAAGAGTCACATTTCCTCACAACACCCAAGGGGACCAGAACACGCCTACAGAATCATTTGTCTCTCACCCACCTCTATGTGCTGAAGGCAGGATGAAACGTTCTTCACACAAAGTCTCACAGTCTTTTCTAGTGATCTAAACAGCTTTTCTTCTCTGTTAAAGGTATTGTCTTTCACCTAAAACACACGAGAAATCACTTAGTTTCATAGCTCAAAGGCATCTAGTATGTTTAAGTGGTACAAAATAAATTTTAAAAAATTAAATGGTATGATAACATTGGCCTGGCACATTACAAAAAAAAATCCTTTGCTGTATGAAAATACTCTGTGATATGCTGTCTTTTATAACAGAATGTTTTGGGGCTGCACATAGAAGGAACTAAAAGTCCAGGTAAAGTTACAAGTCATGTGATGAACTTAATTTGTTGGTTGTTCTGTACCTTCTCAGTGATGTTGAAGTAGCCATGGGTCTGTACAATTTTTTCGGGGATTTTCTTCTGTGTGTCTATGTGACTATGTGACTCTGTGTGTGTGTGTGTATGTGTGTGTGTGTGTGTGTATGCACATGGATTAGGGGTGGGTGACATGCCCCTGTCTTCAGAGGGTATATCAGGTGTTCTAGTCTGCCACTCTCTGCCTTCCTCCTTTGAGACAGAATATCTCACTGAACCTGGAGATGTCCAGGAGCAAGTTCCACTAATCTTGCCGTTTCTGCCTATCACAGTGCTGAGGTCATAGGGGCAGATCAACATACTTGACTTTTATATGGGCGCTGCAGGAATTCAGACTCATGACTGCATGCCTGTACAACAAGTCTCCTCTCTGTTTCTTTTAAGATTTCGTTTTTTTATCGTATGTATGTGGGGGAGTGTGTACCCAGCCCACAGAGCACAGAAGTATCAGATCCCCTCTGAAGCTGGAATCCCTGAAGCTAGAATTACAAGAGTTTGTGAGCTGACCCATGTGGGTGATGGGAGAAGAATTTGGGTCCTCTTCTGGAGCAGCAAGTGCTCTTAACTCTGGAGTCATCATCTCTCAGGGTATATACCCCTGCCCATGTAGTCTTTAGTAATATATATTGTGCACTCAAAGTATACTATCTGTTTCTATGTTCATAGAACTCATAGTCTAGTTTATCTCACAACGATGATTTAGAAATATTCTTAGACCTATCATTAAAGAAAAGTGGCAATGTCGCCTCAAACGTGAAAGATGATCTAAAATCTTAATTCTTCTATAGAAGCACATGTCCAGAGCTGAGATGGTTGTCACATGTGTTCATGTGACATCTTACATGTACTATCTCGAACATTCAGAGAATATGTTTTTACACACACTGAGTAATTTTTAGAGCTACACACATCACTATTGATGGTGAATTTTATTTATTACAATGAAACTGTCTGCCAGAACCAGCCCCATGGTGGTGAGCCTGTCTGAACAGGCACATGAATGCTACATGGGCAGAGTGTCTGTAGTTCATTACTATAGTAGGTAATTATTGTACTCTTGCCATGTGCTTCTTAATTTTACATAGTTAACTCCAGAACTGAGTATGTGTGTGTGTGTTTGTGTGTGTGTGTGTGTTGTATGTAATTTTTTTAAATCCCCTCGTTTGACTTGTGTGGGAAAGCATTAATTAAACAGGCATAATTCTTTGCAAAATATACATAGCCCAGTATCCTTGGCCTTATGTCTCTGCTTGTGCTCTCTCTCTCTCTCTCTCTCTCTCTCTCTCTCTCTCTCTCTCTCTC